ATCATTGTTCACAACACCTGATGTCTACTAAACAACTAACGGTGACAACAAAAGGAGACCGTAAACACACTAAAACACTCGGAGCTTTCAATGCACCAACGATAGGAGAAGTTTAAGAGAAACTCTCGACCCACTTTTTAAGTCGATATCACTGTCGATCTGCTCCGTACTATGTTAACGTCACACAGCTTAACATCACTCGCTCAATTTAATTGTATCAAGCGCTCGGTCGTAATTAACGCGTTTCGTTAACCCACCAATTCTTGATAGTTGACGCATGTCAACGAAAATGCCTGCCGGTCGGCTCTGTTCACTTCAGCGACGCCGGCTGGCTGCTAAAACGTTAGAGAACACATGCGATTAACAGGAAACTCCGAGCTCTACTGAGGAGGATGCTGAGGATCAGGCCACAATTCGTACTATTGCATCGGGTACCACTGAGGGCGCCACAATCGGCCCAAAAGGCGCCATCATCTACAACCCTAACGTTGAATGCGTCACTGTCGCTGCCTGTGCAGAAGTCCCTATATGGTTCTTCCGGCTGTTCTGCAGCAGTTTGCCTTCGCCTGGTCCTCCCCTTTTCCCTGTCTACCCACCGCACGCTTTGTCCCATCCCACGTCGGCCTTCCCACAACCATAGCAGTAACAGCAGCAGTGAACTCTTTCCCAACCAAGCGTCCCAGAAGTACTTGCGTACGGACAGGCATACATTAGCTCGCACGCGTACTGCTCCAGCTTTAGCCTATTGACCCCTTACTTGTCGCTACCACGACCATGTCGCTGCCTGCCACCGCTTACGCAAAGTCCCAGGAGAGGATAAGTTGCCAACGTTAGCTGCTGTCGGTTCCATTCGTTCCTGTCCTGGTTAGTCCCACTGCACACTATAATGCTCGTCCGTTTACATGCACAACACTGAACGCGACAGCTATACGCTAGCGCACGAGCGTTCGCCATACATAAATCGTCATCCCCCCCCCCCCCCCTACTGCTGCTAGTACTGCAGCATCTGCCCGTCATGTGACGGCTGTTACTTTTGTTGGAGCAGTCTGCTCTCGCCCCTCTCCGTAGTCGCAGCTCCCCCGGGCTTGATGTTATCACCATTGTCACCGCCGCTGTTGTTGTGCTTGTCGTTGGCGTCGTCGTCAACAACGAATAACAGCGACCCCTTCCTAGCGCTGATAACAGAAAGAGAGAGGAGATTACACAAAAAACGATATGGCATAGACAGGCTATAAGAAGAGGGATATCAAATAGTGGTGGTGGTGATTCAGTAACAATCGAATATAGGCACCTCGGAGTCGAGGAATGGGTACAACAGCACAAGTTGACTGTGGCAAAGAGGAGAGAAAAGGACCAGGTGGAGTCCGAAGTAGTCGCTCTTTCACGACGAATTCTACTCTCCTGTTTCACTTTTTCGATGTCATAAGCATAATCATCTTCATAACAGCCGCGACCGAGAAAGCAGGGCGGCATCGTGATGTTCTCGTAGGTCTTGGTTGAGACTTCGCCAACATTTAGGTCAAAGAAATCTGAAAGCCAGAGGTCCAACGATTCAGATGCGACTGGCGTCGGGTGAAAGGAAAGAAAAAATTTGTCGTTTATACCGCCTGCTACCGACGAGAACGTCGCAGACTTGTTCCTGAACGGACTAAACACATAGATAGTTGGCAACCCACTTGCACTACTGCGTCAAGCTGTTGTCGGTACAATATATTCGAAAAAAGAGAATTGCTGTTATTACCGAGTGCAGAGATTATCATTACAGATATATTGAAAAGTTACAGGCGTGACTTTTTGAAACGTAACTATTCAGTGAGCTAATTCTAATAAAAATGCTCCTTGTTTGTATATGATTGTCTCATTTTACTCAGTATGGCCTGTACCATTCTTCATACAGTCTTATTTAAGTTATGCTATGTAATTAGATGCACTAAGCATGCGAAATGGACCTGTCGGTTATTGCCTAAATAAAAAAAACAAGGCAAACCTGTATTAACTCATCATATGCAATATGCAATGCTAATCAGATAAAAGTGCATGATTTCTTCGGAGCTTTTTTGGACCTCAGAGATCAGATTCGACTGGCTGCGAATGTTCTCAGAGAGACTGTGAGCATATTTGGCATCGTTTGGATTTCTTACATTAGAGAGGACGTAACCAAACGTGCCAGGATCGATTGCTTCTCGTTAATCAGACTGTCACCGCGGGGCACCAACATTTCAGTCTCTTTCTGCGGACCGATGGTTTAAATTTCGCGGTAAATATGTATATAGTAATACCCTAAACGTATGTAGTTGCATCCGAATAGCTGCCATGTAGCGTTCTTGATTTAGATAATTATTTAAAGAATTTTATAATGATTCGGGTAGTGATGGCGTTATCGTTTTATCGTATTATTATCCTCCAAGGTTAATTAGTATGTAAAAGTATTAATATCGAATATGTTTACCAACAAGAGTTTACATGTACTGCATACTATGTTAGCTGAAAACTATGTTAGCTAAATTCTGTTATCAACAAGATAATATATATAGAAATCTAATCCAGGCTTTAGCAAGAGTATTGATACTGAAAAGCTTCAGTAATTGTCATACCTATCGGCAAAAAATGTTAGTACCTCAGAACACAGTGCCCATTTATACAAAACTGTATAAAACAAGCGACCCTCTATGCGACGTGTTCCTTATGAACATAGGAAGCAGCTTATAAAAGCTAACGGTAAATATTTATGCCTCAGCAACTAATCTGTTTTTTAGAACGATTCTTTGAACGAAAACCCATACTTCACCAGACGATTAAATAAATAATAAAACATTAAGACGATGATTAAATCTAATTAATTGTTGAATGAAATTTTATTTGTGCTAATAGGGGCAAAGATTAGTCGGCTTAGTGGCCTTAATAAGAAAGTACATAGTTACTGATCAGCTATTTACCAACTTTTTATACGCTGACACATCTTTGGCGTCTTTGGACAGGGTTTGATAAATGGCTCAAGAAAATTAGATATGACGGCAATCTACATAGTGGTTACGCTGTAAGTAAAGACAAGAGCCTGTGGTGGATTATAGCCTGTATCGCATCGCTGAACGTATGGACTCTACTGAACTCGGCAGGAACTAACTCGGCGGCGGCAACAACGATGGTAAATCATCGACTGGTCAGATGCCGAATAGCGAGCGTAGTACAGATACCAACGATACGAGGCATGCTTATATCATCATGAGTCGATCTCGCATTAAACCATTTTCTTTCTGGCCGTACCGCCGAGACGTCGCTTTCAAGCGTGTCGTACACTCGGATCTCTGCGAACTATGTGTTGTCTGGTCTTGCTATGAAAGCTTTTTTGCTTTCTACTTCTACATGTCTGCAGATCCCGTATAGATCCTAAATTCTAGAAGCGGCTAAACGGAGTCCCCACTCCGATATACTGATTAACTAACTGCCAAGGAATTAGAGTAAAGAAGTGATGGATTGTGCATATGCGTGTGTTTATATGCGCATGAATTATGAGGCTCATAACGGTCTACACAGACAGCTTGTATATATGAACATTAATTTTGCCTACTATTGATGTTATTCTATATTATTATCATATGCTATTAATGTTTAATTTTAGCTATGGCAGCGAGCCTGCCGTCGAGGGACCATCCTGTAATTATAATACAAAAACAGTAATTGATTGCTTAGGTAAGATAATAGCTCGAACCAAACGTAATATGCCCCACAATAATTTTATCTGTAGCGCATGTACTTTTTGGTATCTTTTCAATGATGTTTTATATTGTTATTTAACTTCGTAGTTTACAATCTGGTGGACTTCGAATATGTATATGAATATAATTATGGTTTTTATAGGCTTATCTGTAAGCCTATGTAACAAAAATGAATGAGATGTGTATATATATATATTTTATTAATTAGAAGCGGAACTTCGGTTTTTCACGCGTGTTCGCTTCGAGTTCGAATTCGTCTTGAACAAGCGAAACAAAAGTGACGTTTAACAGTTCCATCTACCAGAACGACTTCGCGTGCCCGGAGAATATCCCTAAGCTCCATGGTGCTTTCAGGCACTCTAACGTGGGTCAGCTGAACAAGTACAGCCATCTAAGAGCTATGTGAAATGCAGATCAGAAGTCAACTAATACGGCGTCAGGTATTGACACAAACTTCTAAGGACGCCCGGATACGTTCAAGGAGCATCCTAACAGAGCGCATGGGTGCCGTGATCAATACTCGCTATTTATCTGGAATAAGGCCCATAAGCTCGAGCTTCTAGGTCATAACTTTAATTAGTAACTTATCAATTTCTTTTTGCAGGAATGAAAGAAAACAAGTTCATTCTTTGCGTGTGTGTGCTTGAAAGATCCCATGGCGATCCACCACTACCTACGCAAAGGGGTCTTCGCATTTCCATTAAATCAGGAATCAACCTCAGCAAGAATTCATCAGGGATCAAAACGTGCCTCATGTATTTATCGGAATGTTGGACTTCTACTTGTCACTTCAGTGTCCTGGTAAACATGTTTGCAACTCCTTCCGAGTGGCGATAATGTCAATGCTCTTGGCAGATGACTGCCTGGGTTTAACCACTGAGATGAAGTCTTCAAGTTTCGTAGGTATGCGCTTAGCAGATTCGTAGCGCGTAGGCAAGACAACTTATGGATAAGTATAGACTTATACATGAATATCTGTGTATACGATATAATAAAATTGGGCAAAAAAGGTCTAGAAAAAATTAAATTTGGTTATGTGTGTAATGCCCAGACATGGATCAGATGCCTCTGCAGCACTTAGGAGAAAGCTTAACTCTGTTACGCTATGATGCTAACGTAACCCATTCTTCAGAGCTCTCTGTACTCGTTAGATAAATTATGACAGAAAGGCAATCCATTGATTGTCGATATAAAGGCAATAAAGTACTATAGGTGATGTATAGTATGATAATAATGTCTCGATAATTGTAGCTGGTTATTATAGATAGATAATGGCTGACTTACTTATATAGTACATGCGCGCAGGAGAATCAGTTTGCAGAGGTTCCTCGGGGAGACTGCACTCGCCACTCTCTGAAATCAATAAATAATAAAAGTTGTTTGTGAGTCATGTATGTTTTTTGAGGGATTACCACATGTTTTGCAAGTGACCAAACTGAAACTGGTTTACTTAGCTTTGTACCCTTTTGTAGACATGTGCTGAGAACGGTTTTTCAAGTCAATTAATTAATCATGATAGTCATTTCTGATGGAATTTCCTTCATTCTTTTGTATACATGTCTTATTTGGAAGGCATACAGCGCAAATATTTTAACGTATACCTGTACTATTTAGTTTCGAAAGGTTCATATACCACGTGAGCATCGAACGCTTCGTTCACTCATTCAAGTTCTAAAACTAAAAAAGAAATTCGTTGCTCTTCTCTTTCAGGTACTGGCAAGGTCTTCGGGTGCATTAGATCTTCCAGTTTTAGATAGCGAATATTTTCAATGACTAATTAGAATGAAGTGCGCGATTAACTATGATGTTTCTTATGCACTAAACGCTGACGACTCACTGAGTCTTAAACGTTCCTGAAATAACGTAGAGACGTGCGACCCACTCGTCGGAGATTATTACTGCTCCATTCCATATTAACCATGTGGAAGAAAAAACGCACCATACAACAAAAAGCACGATTCCGTTTTAAGGTGTCAGCTGGCTAACAGGATGCCTGTAGATGTTCAATTGTAAACAGGTTATACACGAGTGCAGGAACTAATAATTGGGAAATCTGGGTAGATTAATACGTATGCGAAGCTTTACTAGATAGGGTTTTTCCGAAACAAACTGCAACATTTCCCTTTTTCTTTGCCACTGTAACATTGTCTCTATCTATTTTCTATACAATAAAGGAGATCTCATGTTCTAGGCGCTGTTGTTCGCATTACCGGGACATATATGACACATACATAAAATAGATGCGTATGAGAAGTAGGCGCGTCAAATTAACTCAATTATTTGCTTAGATAGTGTCAGAAGTATTTTATTTCATCTCGGAGAGAACTTGTTTGGTCGATCTGTTCATCTGGCGAATTATTCAAAATAAGTTTTTTTGAAGAATAGGCCGTAAGTCCCTGAGGTTTGCCATTGTGCTTATTTATATTCATATGTTATATATAACATTCATAGGATGTGCTTTTACTTTTAAAAACCTGAAACTTGTTAACTTTGTTAAAACGCTTAAGGCCAGGGAGTAGAAATATCTAAGGTAGACTGAAAATTACGCTGGTGACCTAAGTCTATAGTTAGAAAAAGAATGGCTTTATAAAATGATAAAACTGTTGACTTGCAGCTGAGTTAACATATGTTTCACCCGAAAAGCTCTGATTTTAATTGCAAGCCTGATCTTAACTGTTGCGCCTTTTCAAACTGAAACCTTTTCTGTCCGTACGTGTTAGTCACTATGCTTATAGCATTTCAAACATTATTGCTTATCCTAGAGTTTATATCATGCCAACTCAGATTACAATCTTTAGGCAAAAACTTCGCATTTTCGAGCACACGGAAACCACGTGGCATTACACTACCGATGAATGCGCCCTTCGCGGCCAACTTGGCAACTAAAAATTGCGTAGTGCACTCTTCCGCCGTTCGGGGCGCCACTGGTACTGTGAAGAGATATTTGCCTAAAAGACCGCATTCGATAAGTGAGGGTCCTGTTTGACGATTGTTTTTTCAATTTATGATAAGATATATAATATCTTAAACCAAACGAAGATTAGTCTTGAAATTAGACATTGGTAGGGACGTGACTAAGTTACACGGTTTTGAGTAGTCGTTACGCTCATGATCTAATAAATTAAAAGGTCCCTTTTCTAGGTTGCAGGAGCAATGTCTGAAAAACTAAAGCTTCTGTATATCAATAAGGCGGACTTTTTGTACAGACTTGTTCTTTTATAGCAAGTACTTTCTTCACGTATAAGGATGTGTCTTGAAAAGGTTCCAATTCGTTTGGTTAAACCACAGTAGGGTAATTTCTTCACTGTGTTAATGCTTCATCTTAGTATTCCTTAACGGGCTTTTTATAATACTTAAAAAAATTCCGGAAGTAGATGCAACTTAGACGTAGAATCCTCAATGTCAATTAAGGTAGAATCGCGACGAATACTACACTTTTGCACAAATCTACATGAGAAAGTTAAATATTTTTTTTTTCTGACTTTATCAATGAACACCCTTGGTCGCAGATTGTTTGGTCCTTGTTAAGGATGAGAGTCTTGCTTGAGTGTTATGTATTCAGTTAATATACCTTTATATTATATATTTGAGATCCATACTTATAAAAAATATTACTGGCAAGCACTAATTATCCGCCAATTGCTGCAAACTTATGGTAACGACAGATTTGTACCGGATGCGGAGAAACTGTACGCCCTTTTGCTGCTGCAAAAATGTATAATATAACTTAATGCCGCCCGTTTTTTCATTACAAGACCCTCTTCTAAGAACCGTAAGTTTGCAGCTATTTTGGCAAACCTTGACGTTGTAAAATGCTCTATACCTTCATGTGCGTGCATCACTATATTCTCACAACAAATAAACATTTTTCTTCTATCTTGAGCGACATATACTAATCGGTTGGTCAAAAACTAACGCTGTCGTTCCTAAGGCTTTCATCTCCGCGCTCTTTGTTTGCTTCTGTATTCGGCATTTAAAAACATTCTCTTTTTTCTAGACTTTCTTTGTTGTATGGTTTACAGCGTTTTCTATTGAGTTTCGGCCTGAAAAATAAATCGTTTAGTTGTACTCTTTGATAACTGATCTCATCAAATATCTCCAGTCTATTTTAACTAACAACTATTTATACTTCAGTCTATTTATACTAAGAGGCAATACTAATTCTATTTCGGACGTTCGGCTCAAAAGATTTTTCAGACGCCTATCCTAACACAACCAATAGAGAAAAGCAGGAGATTTGTCATCGGGAGGAATTTGCAAGTCGTAGACGATAGGTGGTATTCCACTCAGTAATCTGCCCTGTACATCCGTAAATACGACATGACTTATAATGGACGATAAAAATGCTGTCGGAATGGGGCGCGCGCACCATAAAGTCCACAGGTACGTGCCTTAGTCAGCATTTCCGGCACACTCTAAACCTGTCGTTGGTCCCCTAGATGATATGCTGTAGTCTAACGTCCACCTGCTGACCCAGATCAGTTGTAACGGGCCAAAGGAAATGACAGAAAAGCTCCGAAAAAAAGACTATTAGATAAGCTTATTATTACGAGAGGAAATTCTTCGACAAATGACGATTTCTTCGAAGTAGATTGGCTTTTCCACTCTGCTATCGTCCGCCCAATATACCTTCAGTAGCCAGAAATCTTTACAACGAGCACACAGCCTTAAGAGTAGCGGTAGCCGAAGCGTTCGTTCTTATCTCTCGTTCCCCTCCAACCGAAAAAAGTGCGCCATGAAAACGAAGAACTTTTTATATATGAGTAAATCTCTCCTTTTTTTTGCCGTCGTTGTAGGCTTTTCAGGGGTCACGCAGCGTATGTATCTATGATCTTCTGTCCAGGCAGGAGACGATCAGACGTAGAAAAGCAGTTTACAGTGGAGCGATGGAATGGAGGAATAAAACGTTCAAAATGCACTTCGAGATTGGGTTCTTAGCGTATTTCTACTTATTCTTTTTTGTTGCGTTTAAGAGTTGTAGCAGTAATTCTAGGTTACGTGCACAGGAGACCTGCAGAAGCCTGTTTATTGCGGCGGTAATGGTGCAGGTTATTGCTACTGACTGTAGTAATGCTTGCTGGGGCTGCTGTGTCCCATCCATCTTCCCAGAATATACTGACTTCCACTACGCATGCTAAGGGTTTCTTTAGGGATGCACACACTGGCGTACACGAACAAAACGGTGCAGGCGTATACCTGCAGTCGAGCTGTAGCCGGTCACGCAGAGCTGAATTAAACCAACAGACTCGAGACGCTATCTGGGGTCGAAAACACACGATACGTCTTCAAAACAAGAAACGAAATAAGGTTATATATTACCCGCTCGACTGGTGTGGCGCAACGCACTTACTGCAGGCGCTCCTGTAAATGTGTCTGTGTTTGTATGTATATCGCAACGGATGAACGTGTAAAATAATATGTTATTTCCTTAAGCAAGATTGTTTTTGTTTTTAAACTTGGTGGGTTTCATACCGAAATCACTACTTCAGTCCGTTAGCGCAATTAAACAGATCATATTGTGCTTAGTATTATTTTATGCAAAAGTTTGTCTAAACAAAGAGCGCATCACTAGGCACGTAAAGGTTTACACTGAGTTCATATGATATCATCCAAGTGTCCAAGGATCAATCTACTGTGGGCAAATTATAGATTGAGATTATAACATACGTAAACATATAGCATAATACGTATAACTGACAAGCTATATTCATAGAATACATAGTTGATTTATATCGAAAATCGATCCAAAGTATAATTTTCTTTTTAATTTTTAAGAAAAATCAACGCGTCACGATTGGCCACGTAGCTGTGGCGTGAGTACTCGCAATAAATGTAGATAATCGGCTTAATTAACTGATAACTAAAAAATGTTATGATGCAGCGGATTTTAATAGGCCTGGTGAAGTAAAGGGAAGGCGCTTTATAATTTCGACATGTTTTTGCGATACGGTTCACTTAACAGTTCCAATAACATTTTCCAATGTGTCCTGGATCGTGTTTTGGCTTTAAAACTATGTTCAGAGTGTTTGTATTGCTAATGTTAAACGTATTTAGAAGTCTCCTTATGTATAAAATCTGAACAAATGATCTCTGCCCTAATTGTTTATCGTTAACATGTAGGTCCTACATTGAAAATCCCAAATAACATAAGTCGGCCGACAATTTAACCGCCAGCATTCGTTTGCAATGAACAAAACGAATAAATTGATTGAAAAATGCTGCGTCTTGAAAAACATTTGGAAAGAACAATAGTCTGATCCTTTAGGCGTGATTTACACTTTACAATTACGGAAGACTCTATTGATAAGCTAGCCGTTGTAATTTAAGTTTTTAGCCACAGAACTTACCTTCTT